CCCCCCCGTCCCCTCCCCCCTCTTCTGCCCTGGGCGCCTGGCGGTGGCATTGCACCTCCGGACGAGCCAGCCCTCCGTTTTCAGCGGCCCAGAGATCACCATGCCGAAGGAGCTCCTGCACGGCGGCGGGGCAACCGGCCTGCCGGAGTGGGAGCATCGCGAGGTGCACAACCTTTATGGGCTCCTGCATCATGCGACGACATATGCATCGCTGCTGCACCGGGAGCTGGCCGGGTTTTCCGTTGCCCGGGCCCCGGCCCGGCCGTTTGTCCTGTCGCGGTCCTTCTTTGCTGGCAGCCAGCGCTTCGGTGCCATTTGGACCGGCGACAATGAGTCCTCCTACAGCCACATGAGCTCGGTGGCCCCCTTCAGCCTGTCGCTTGGCTTTGGGGGGTTCCCCTTCTCCGGGTCCGATGTCGGGGGGTTCTTCGCGGACCCGGACAACGAGCTGATCGCCCGGTGGTACCAATCGTCGGTCTTCAGCTCGCCCTTCTTCCGGGTTCACGCACACATGGACACGCGCCGGCGCGAACCATGGACACTGGTGCGTCCACTTGCGCGCCCCCGCGCCACGCCCCTTCTGATGATGCCTTTGTCTGTACTCACCCCTGGTGCCGATCCGCGCGCGCGCGCGTGTGTATGTGTGTGTGTGTGTGTGTGTGTGTGTGTGCATGTGTGTGTGTGTGTGTGTGTGTGCATGTGTGCATGTGTGCATGTGTGCATGTGTGCATGTGTGCATGTGTGCATGTGTGCATGTGTGCATGTGTGCATGTGTGTGCATGTGTGCATGTGTCACACAAACGCATGCCTTCGTTACTTCTCCAGACCGAGCCCTTCCTGTCGTCCATTCGCCTGGCACTGGACACGCGATACCAGCTGCTGCCCTATTGGTATACGCTGATGTATCGGGCCCACTTGACTGGTGAGCCGGCCCTGCGACCTGTCTTCTGGGAATTCAATGGCGACGACCTTCAGCGAGGGGCGACCGCCGCCGGGGCCGCCACCAAGGGCCCATCCATGGATGAGGGTCTCCTGCATGTGTGTGCAGATGCCGGGCGAAAGGCGCATGGTGTGCCCCCGGGACCGGGGGATTCCGCCATGCAGTCGGCCGGGCGTGGGGAGCATCTCCTCGGGCCAGCGCTGCTGGTCCGGCCCATTCACAAGCCCACCAATCAGACCGGCTTGCAGGGGGCTCCCGACATTGACCCGGACACGGGGCTGGTGGATGTCCTGCTGCCGGGCCTCGGTTCCGGGCACACTCGCTGGTATGACTATTGGAGCTTGCGGCCGATGGAGGCTGCCACCGGGCAAGCCGGCGGCCTTGGCAGGGGGGATTTGGTCCGGGTCCCGGTGTCGGCGGCCGCGGTGCCGGTGTTCCTGCGTGGCGGCCAGGTGCTTGCACGCAAGGACCGCCCCCGCCGGTCGTCAGTCCTGTCCGGCGCCGATCCCTACACACTGGTGGTGGGGCTGCCCGGGGTCGCGCGAGCTGGCCCGGGCGGCTTGAGCTCCACTGGCGGTCGCACTCGGTGCCCCCTGGCCCGGGGCGAGATTTACCTGGATGACGGGTGGTCCGAGGCTCACCGGGCACACTTTGGCGGCGCATGGGCTCGCAAGCGCCACGAATTGACTGTTGACGCCCTCCCGCCGGCGGGCCAGGGGCCCTCGACGGCGGTGCTGCGCCTGTCCAACGCCGACCTTGGCCCCGGCGCGGCGGCTGCCCGGCAGAGCCTCCTCCGGGCGGCCAGTGCAGGCCCCCGCTCCTCCTCCTCCTCCTCCTCCACTTCAGGGAGCCGCCCACAGGACGAAGACCCGGTGGCCCACGCACCGATGTTGGATCCCCGGGCCCCGGTGGAACGGGTGGTGATTCTGGGCGCGACACTTTCGCGCGCGGGCCCCGGCCAGGTCGCCGCCTCGTTGCGGGCCTTCGCGATTGACTGTGACGCGGCTCGGCACCGGCTGGGCGCTCCGCCGGGCAGCCCCTGCCCGGATGCCCTGCCCGAGGAGAGCAGCTCACCAGGTGACTGGTGGTGGCCGGTGGGCATCGATCACGATCCCGGGCGCCAGTGGCTGACAGTCCACCGGCCGGGGATCACCATCTCCGGCGATTGGGTGCTCGTGATTTCGGCCCCGCTCGAGGGGTATCCGTGTGTGTGATTTGCCGCGTGATCCATCCCATCATAGACCGCCTTCGATGTTTCCCCCGCGTCGGCCGTGCGCTAGGCCGGTTGGAAGGGCGGCGGGGCGTGGTGTTTGCTCCCCGCGCAGCGAGGGGGGGGG